TGTAGGGATGTATATTACTTCTTATACGAGTCTCTTATTGGGGGACATCTGGGTTTTCCAATTTTTTACTGAAAATGATCCTATAAGGAAGAACCTTGTATTTTGCTTTGTAAGTCTAGCTGTAAGATAACTGACTAGAAATGAATATTTAAAAAGACATATGTACTTACTATTTTGATATTGCCAAACTGCCCACGGTAGACCTAGTGCCAGTTTGTATTCCCTCCAAGAATGTAAGAGCACTTGTTTTCCCAAACGCGGTGCACTGTCAGTCCAGAATGCCAAAAATGATAATTCCATGTAGTTTTACTTTACATTTCTCTACCTATGAGTGAGGTTGGGCATATTTTCATGTTTATAAGCCATTTACATTTCTTCTGTACATTTTATTGCCATATCCTGGGGTTCATACTTTTACTGGTTCCCTGGTCTTTTTTTTTTTCTTAAAGATTTTATTTATTTATTCATGAGAGAGGCAGAGACTTAGAGGGAGAAGCAGGCTCCCTGTAGGGAGCCCAATGTGGGACTCGATCCCGGGTCTCCAGGATTACGCCCTGAGCCGAAGGCAGGTGCTCAACCGTTGAGCCACACAGGTGTCCCGGTTCCCTGGCTTTTTTTGTTTATTTTGATTTGTAGTAGCCTTTTAGAGACATTAGTCCTTTGTCTGTGATATGAGTTGCACATATTTTTTTCCCCAGTTTGTCATATGTCTTAATATTGTTTATTGGTAGTTTTTGGTTTTCATTAACAAGAAACTTCTGAATTTAAGACCTCAAACATGCTTATCCAACATACTTCGCTTACTCTACTACAGCATCAAACAGGCTTTCAGAAAACAGCAGCAAATCTATTACCTCATCCTGGGGGATGACAACTTGAATAAGCCCATGGGAATCCCTTAGGACCAGGAAGACGTTTTGCCTGATCAATGAAGCAAATGAACATGTTAGGATAAGAACTCTGAGCCCAAAACCTAAGCGGGTAAAACAAATTAACAACAAAATCCATGCCATTTCCCATGTTCTTTTTATAATAATGTGCTTTCACTATGTACTACATTTATGTAATTATCTATGTAGCTTGTTAACAAAAAGACTTTGCATTTACTTTTTCTTTTTTAATTTTTAAAATATTTTATTTATTTATTCATGAGAGACAGAGAGAGAGAGGGGCAGAGGGAGAAGCGGGCTCCATGCAGGGAGCCCGACGCGGGACTTGATTCCGGGTCTCCAGGATCACGCCCTGGGCTGAAGGCGGCGCTAAACTGCTGAGCCACCCAGGGATCCCGTTTTTCATTTTTAAGATTTTATCTATTTGAGAGAGAGAAAGCACACGCACAAGCAGGGGAAGCAGCAGAGGGAGAAGCAGGCTCCCCAGTGAGCAGGGAACCCAACGTGCGGCTCAATCCCAGGACCCTGGGATCACCACCCGAGCTGAGGGCAGACACTCAACAGACTGAACGACCTTGGCGCCCTTGTTTTTAAAAAGTTTTATTTTAAGTAAACTACCTGCCACAAGCAGGGCTCAGACTCTCAACCTTGAGATCAAGAGTTGCATACTCCACCCACTGAGCTTTTCAATTTCAATTTTTACTGGTTATATATGCAGTTTACTAATGTTATACAGATGGCTTGTTAATGAAAGGCAAATTTTTAATTTTTATTGGCTTAAATCTTTATAAGGAAATTTTATAAAACTTGGAAACTTTCCACATATTAAAACCCAAGATTATATCTTTAGATATCAGAAATATCTAATTTGTCATTTTTGAAATATAGCAATATAAACTCTTTTCTTAAAAGACACAGTCTACACTTTTCTAGAGGAGGTGAAACTACTAATTTAATACTTTTTTGTTTTAAAGATTTTATTTTTTTATTTCATGAGAGATCCAGAGAGAGGCAGAGACATAGGCAGAGGGAGAAGCGAAGCAGGCTCCTCACCGGGAGCCCAATGTGGGACTTGATCCAGAGACTCCGGGATCATGCCCTGAGCCAAAGACAGCCGCTCAATCACTGAGCCACTCAGGCATCCCTAATTTAATACTTCTATAAGCCATCAAAAGGTCCCCCAAATTCCAACACTTTAGTGTTCAACCTACATTTCTCATACTGTCCTAGTACTAGGAAGAGGTAGAGTAAAACTCAGATTTTGAGTTCAGAAGATAAAGTCACCAAATTTATGGGTCCTATAACCACCTACTCAGAACATATGCTTTAGGAAGGCCACACAGTCTATGTATTTTGGAACTCCTCATTGTTAATTAATGTACTATTCGGGTACATGCTGGAATACAGAAACAACAAAATGGGCTTTAATTTTAAGGAACACTGTTCATGTTTTTAGGCTTTTTTTCTACCTCAGTTTAGAATAAAATAAGCTTTTTCATGCTATCGAAGCTTACCAGCTGGCCAACTCCCAATCACTGGTCCTAGGAACTCTTTGACTTTAGTAAGCTAAGGGACGTTTCAGTCCATTGGTGGAACACACTTTATTATTACACCCTTAAACAGAGGCCACTCCAAATCTGAAACTCAGTGAATTCTGAGAATCCTGCAGGAGTTGCAAAGCTTTTGTTGTTCTGACTGAAAATTTTTTTTTTTAAATTTTTATTTATTTACGATAGTCACAGAGAGAGAGAGAGAAGGGCAGAGACACAGGCAGTTGGAGAAGCAGGCTCCATGCACCGGGAGCCCGACGTGGGATTCGATCCCCGGTCTCCAGGATCGCGCCCTGGGCCAAAGGCAGGCGCTAAACCGCTGCGCCACCCAGGGATCCCTGACTGACTGAAAATTAATACAAGTTTGGAATTGACTGGGGGAAAACCACCAGGCATTCTTTTTTTTTTGGGGGGGGGGCGTGGGAGGTGCAGAGAGTTCTTTTTTTTCTTTTTATGATAGTCACACACACAGAGAGGCAGAGATACAGGCAGAGGGAGAAGCAGGCTCCATGCACCGGGAGCCCGACGTGGGATTCGATCCCAGGTCTCCAGGATCGCGCCGCGCCCTAGGGCAAAGGCAGGCGCTAAACCGCTGCGCCACCCAAGGATCCCAGGTGCAGAGAGCCTTAATTAAGCAGGTGGATCAATCTCAGGACCTGTAGAGCATGACCTAAGGCTGAAATCAAGAGTTCAAAGCTTAACGCACTGAGCTACCTGGGCACCCCTAATTCTCAAGTATTTTTTTTTTTTAAAGATTTCATTTATTTATTCATGAGAGACACACAGAGAGAGGCAGAGACACAGGCGGAGGGAGAGCAGGCTCCATACGGGGAGCCTGTCATGGGACTCGATCTGGGACTCCAGGATCACGCCCTGGGCCGAAGGTAGGCGCTAAACCGCTGAGCCACCCAGGGATCCCCAAATTCTCAAGTATTCTTAAGCCAATTTACCTTCGGTACTGAATCCATCCACACAAAGTGACTTCTTGGCCTAAGTGAGAAGAGCGCAACTCTCCACACGTGTTGGTCCGAGCAACAAAGCTACTGAATTCTTTAAGGAAAAACAAGATTAAAAACATTACATTTGCAAACTGCTTGAAAATAAGGATTCTCAGGTTATATCATCCTAAGTATTTCATGTCAATGAATGAAATTTATGGAGTAAGTTTAGATATGATTTGCTTCAATCCCTATTAAATTTATCTGCAAATGTGTCAAAAACCAAGTGAATTAACAGTCTTACTGTAAATTTTTGCTGTTAGGAAATCTAAATTTTGATCATGTATCATTTGCACTGAGACCTAAAACTGCCCTATTCTTAATGGTGCACATTAAGAATTTTCCAAATGATAGCAGATCTCGGAATTACAGAAATATGATGGTATGAATCCCGAGTGAAACCGGTCACTTGCATGCTGGAAAACACTTCAAAATATCCTCAAACGTGAAATAATTTTTGAGGCTAATTAGTAGCATCAGCTAAAGGCAGAATTCATGTGGTTACTTGTTTAAACTCCAGAGGAAAAAAACCTGTATTAGGAGAAATAAAGAGAGAACGAAGTGGCTCTACACAGAAAGCTGCCCAGTGCAGACCACAGGAAAATGGAGTAAGAGCGCTCTGCTGTAGAGACCAAGAGGAAACACTGTTCGGAGGACAGAACTCTTCACAGCTTTCACCTGGAATTCTCCTCTGTGAACTGAGCGCCAGCCTCCGGCGGAGAGAGCTCGGCCTCAGGTGGGCGATCCTTCCGGTGGGTGCGGATAATGCCGCGTGCAGCCGACTTAACCAACAGAGCATGTTGGAGCCGCAGGATGGCGAGAGAAGCTCACGAATCCCAAGGTACCGGCGTCGGATGGCGGCCAAAAGTCAGCTTCGGAAATATACACAAATCCCTTAAAATGCTAGGAGTTCTTTCCCAATATTTAAGCCCTTCTCCGCTGAACATTCAAGTACACGCGCCTAAGGACGAGATAAATCTACAAGTTATCTGGGGCCTTTGGTGAGGGGGAGGGGGAGGGGGGAGCGGAAGACCCTTTTATCCACCTTCAAGACATCAGTTCCCACTTCTAAGCAACCGAACTGCGGCCCGAAGAGTCGAGAGCACCGTTGAGGCAGCAGGGCAGGGTGGGGCGCAGCGGCCACGCCCAGGCGGAAGGGGCCGCTCACCGAGCGCGCACCCCTCCCTCCCTCCCTTCCGCGCTTCCCCCCAGGCTCCCGCAGGCCGAACTGGGGAAACAGGAGGGAACTCTGTCTCAGGCCTCAAACTTCCCTACACCTGGCAGGCGGCCTCCGGTCTTCAGAAGGACGAAGGCCAGTAAACCCCAAACCTTCTCAGGTCCAGGACCCACACCCAGATCGTCGCTAAGAACCCAGCGCTTCTCAGGCGGCCCCGGCGAGCGCTCAATTTAGGGTAAAGGCATTCAGCCAATCAGAGCAGGGCTGCCGCCACCATGCTTACTATGGGCGGAAACATGAAGGACCGCTTCGCGCTGGTAGAAAAACCGCAGAAGACGGACACCGCGCGATTAGCCACGTTGACGATAACGGTTAGGTCGCTTGACCTCAACTAAAATGGCGACCGTAGTCGCTTCACTAACGCGTGAACGGTACCTGGGAGGCTTCCGGCGTCGGGCCGCAGAGCAAGACGGGAAACGATTTTAAACTGAGGCGGCGGCTGAGGAGGCTCGGTGGCCGTTCTCAAAGGCGGGGTGTCAGAGCTGGCCCTCCGAAGGGCTCCGGTGGAGAGGGGCGAGTTGTGACCCCCTGCCCCTTGCTCCTCCCCTCCTCAGGCAGAAGCCGACTCCACAGGAGCGAGGGTCTCAGAGTGGGCGGTTGGTCGCGGAAAGGCCCCTCCCCGGGTGAAGTTGCCGGACGTCCGAAGACGCCGAGGTCTCCTCCCTGCGCGGTTTGTGTTCCTGGTGAGCCCACTTCTTGTGGAGCGAGAGGGAATTTGGGAGAGCCAGCGGTGCCTCCGAACTCTCCCTTAGCTGCCGTTTTGGCGGCTTTTTTTTTTTTTTTTTTTGACTTAAGGGGATTTTAGTGTCAACCTCAAATTTAGGAACCAGACGAAGAATGATTCGTGAAGCCGGCATGGGCGACAGCGTCATCACGACATTTTATTGGTAAGACGCTTTGTACTTGTCCAGGACTGGCGGAAAACTTTATGTTGTGCTCTGTTGTGTGCTCGTCATCTTTGCAGCACTTGGGTGTTTAGGTGGCTGCACACTGCGTGCTTGGCACTGGGCCAACCATTGGCGGTGGGATGACACGATTATCGGTGACAGTGTAGAAAAGTGAGTTAGGTCAGGGTCCCTTCCTTCATGGATTCGCCACAAGAAAAACAACTAACTTGTAACTATGTGGTATGAACTACAAGAGAGGAGCTGGTGGTGCTCTCTGGATACCGCCCAGCCTCTGAGGACGTGAAGCCCGCGGGATGAATTGTTTTAGTTCAGGGAGGAGAGCATTCTTGGTTGGCTGTAGGCTGAATTAAAAAGTCAGGGCACAAAAGCCAACCTGATAGGCACGAAGGGCAGTAGTAGGGTGATGACCAGTCCAGGGTAGGGAGCATCTATTTGGGTGTAGGGCAGTGGTTCTTAACCTTTTCAAAAATTCAGAAATACTGGGCCTTGCTTCATACCCCTCCACCACCAAGTACACATGCATATGACATTTTGGATACAGCCTTAGAGGGTTGTTGGATTTTGGAAAGGTCATATGTGTATAGATCTTGGGCTAAGTACTCTTGAAGTAGAAAATGAACCTGGATAATCTCAAATAATGAGATCAGATAATGTAGCGCTATGAAACTCAGAGCAGTTCTGACTTCATCTAAAAGATGTATGGGAATTTTTTTTTTTAAGATTTTATTTATTTATTCATGAATACACAGAGAGGAAGAGACACAGGCTCCATGCAGGGAGCCTGATGCAGGACTGGATCCCCAGACACCAGGATCACGCCTTGGGCCAAGGGCAGGCACCAAACCACTGAGCCACCCAGGGATCCCCAGATGTGTGGGAATTGTTAAGGGATCTCCAGCAAAGTAATGACAGGATAGAAGTGGCATCTATGGACCACTAGTTATGGACTGAGAAAGGGGGCTAAGACTGGGACATTAAAATAATGAGTCAAGACATATTTTTAACCTCATAATTATTGGGTAGGACAAAATCGCACATTTTTGAGTGCGGAGTAAGAGAGTAAAATAGATGTAAGTCACTTTCTAATCTTTCATGCATGGATTGGGATATTTCACATTACCATAATTGAATACTTAGGGGAAAGATTTTCCCAAAACCAACGGTCTCAGTGCTAATAGCCTTTTTCTCACCTAGATAGATTTTTAAATCTTTTTTGGAATTTGTAGCATTTCTCTTTTAAGGAGTCAAATTCAGCAGGGCATATTTTTGCCTTGAAATTGATCCCTATTGAAAGGCAATGTGAAAAAAGGAGTTAAGAGCACCTACTCAGGCATTATCTTGTCTGGGTTCAGTAAAGTATGACTTTGGCAAATTACTTCTTTGTCTTTTTGTCTAACTGGGAATATAACAAACGACCTCATGGGGTTTGAGTATTAAAGGAGACAATATTTGTAGGGGCTTGGATAAGAATCTGGCACCTGGTGAATACTTAATAAATGTCAGCAATTAATCCAAATTAACATTTGAAAGAAACATTCTGTGTAGATGGGACTCATTAAAATTCTCCCCTCTCTTTATTTTTTTTAAGACCAAGCACCAGTGAAGGGGTGGGTTTAGGGGAAAGAGAGAGAATCTCAAGCAGGCTCCATGCCCAGCCCATGGGCTCGATTTTATGACCCTGAGAGCATGACCTGAGCTGAAATCAAGAGTCAGACTCTTTGAGCTACCCAGGGGCCCTAAAACCTCCTTTTAAAGAGGTAATTCAGTATGCATTTAAAGGTAAAATGCTTTAAAGTAGCTGCTACTTAAGTTGGTGGTGTATGATTTTGCTTGGGCATTATGTGAACATTGCGATACATATTTATGAAGTTTTGTGCAAGATACAGGTGGTGTCCTACTTCGACATAATGAAATTTAAATACTGTATTAAATACAAGGTTTCATTTTTTTTTTAAAGATTATATTTATTTCTTGGAGAGAGTGTGTGCAAACACAAGTAGGGTAGGGGAGAAGCATAGGAAGAGGGAGAAGCAGACTCTGCTGAGCAGGAGAGTCCATGCAGGGCAGTCTTGGACTCTAGTATCATGACCTGAATGGAAGACAGATGCTTTTTTTTTTTTTTCATTTGTTTTTATTGAAGTTCGATTTGCCAACATATATATAGTATAACACCCAGTGCTCATCCCATCAAGTGCCCTCCTCAGTGCCTGTCGTCACCCAGTTACCCCAACCCCCAGGCCACCTCCCCGTCTGCAACTCTTTGTTCATTTTCCAGAGTTAGGAGGGAAGACAGATGCTTTGCTTTTTTTTTTTTTTTTTTTTTTAAGATTTCATTTATTTATTCGAGAGAGAGGCAGAGGGAGAAACAGGCTCCATGCAGGGAGCCTGACATGGGACTCGATGCCGGGTCTCCAGGATCAGGCCCTGGGCCCAAAGTGGTGCTAAACCGCTGAGCCACCCGGGCTGCTCGGAAGACTGATGCTCAACCCCGACTGAGCCACCCAGGCACCTGTGCAAGTTTCATTTGAAAAACTTTTTTCAAAGGGTAATTGTGCCAGTACTTCGGAGTAATTACTGTAACTTTTTTTTTTTTTTAAGGTTTTATTTATTTATTCAGGAGAGACACAGAGGGGCAGAGACACAGGCAGAGGGAGAAGCAGGCTCCATGCAGGGAGCCCGACGCGGGACTTGATCCTGGGTCTCCAGGATCACACCCTGGGCCGAAGGCGGCACTAAACCCCTGAGCTCCCCGGGCTGCCCAATTATTGTAACTTTTAAATCGTAATTCCTTTCAATGAAAGTTACAATTTCAGAGTTCTATGAAATTCTTCTGTTCAGTTAAACTGATACTTGTTAGGGGAGGTAGGCAGAGGGAGGATGGATTAAATGCGTGATGGGTATTAAGGAGGGCACTTGTGATGAGCACTGAGTGTTATATGTAAGTAATGAACCACTGAATTCTACTCATGAAACTAATATTACACTGTATGTTAACTAACTGGAATTTAAAGAAGAACTTAGAACTACCAAAAAACCCCAAAAAACAAACCCCAAACCCACCCCGATACTTGCTAACAAAGAACACTCAGCATTATATTAGGGTAATTATACAAGAGATATATAAAGCATGGTTTCAGTCAAAGTGTTTTAGTCTGGGGAAGAGATCTCATTCTATACACATACAGCCATGCCCCCCATACACATTGCTTCTAGGAATGAGCTACTGATACAGACAGAAGTGTATAAAATAGGTATTCTGGGGGAAAAAGATTAACAAAACCCTACTACTTGAAAAGAGATCAGATTCAAGCATGGTCCTAAAGGAGGTGGGATGGGAAAAGGATACTTCAGATAAGGAACATGATTGATAGGCAAAAACATGAAGACAAGAATATGGGCCAAAAAGAGTGATACAGACTAGATGATCAAGGAGAGCTACTTATCTAGGACAAGTAGGGTAAGGGCAAGCTGAATTATGAAAGATCTTAAATAGCAGAAAGTAGAATTTTTCTCATCACTGTAAAGTTTTTTGCCCAGGGTGACTAGTAATAAAGTGTCATTGCTGAAGAATGGATTACCAAATTCCTTTATAGTAAGGACAAGAATCAGTGAAACTGTGAGCATGAATTAACTTTTTAGTTAACTTTTAGTTTTATTTCTTTTTATGTAGACCATGGATTCTTATGAGTCAACTCCTCAGCACATTGCATCCTCAAGGCTTAAAGATTACTTTATAGGTGCCACCCCTTTGCAGAAACGATTAGAATCAGTCAGGAAGCAGACTTCATTTGTCCCAACTCCACCTCGAAGGAAAATTCCTCAGTGTTCACAATTACAGGTATGCCTTTTATGTTCGTTCATGTTACTCAATAATTGAGAATATCTGTGAGCAAAACATTTTGATTTTTGTTACTTTTTAATAGTATTTTTAGTATCTTCTTAATCTCTCAGGTAATAAAATAAATGAGAAATAGCAAAAACAAGCAATTATTCACACTATCAATACTGCCCCTCTTATGTCCTTTAACTTCCATTAATCTGGAGCATTTCCACGGTATTTCTTTGTCTTTTATGACATTGATATTTTGAAGAATGTAGTTTCCTCTCTTTTCCTTTTTATTTTTTATTTTTATTTTTTTAAAGATTTTATTTATTTATTCATGAGAGACCCACAGAGAGAGGCAGAGACAGGCTCCATGCAGGGAGCCTGATGTGGGACTTGATCCTGGGTCTCCAGGATCACACCCTGGGCTGAAGGCGGTGCTAAACCGCTGAGCCACCAGGGCTGCCCCCTTTTCCTTTTTAAATAGAATATTTTTCATTTTGTGTTTGTCTGATATTTCCTCATGGTTAGATTGATGTTATGTATTGGATGGAATATAGCATAGAGGCTATTGTGTTGTTCTTGGGGAATAACATCTGGTAGTACATAGGTGGTATCAATTTTGATTATCCTGTCAAGATGTTGCCCAGAGATTACTGTTTTATTCATCTCTGCATCTGATAAGCAGTCTGGGATACACTTTAGGATAATGTAAATATTCTGTTCCTCATCAGAATTTCCCCTAATACTTACTATCCATGGATAATTTTTGCCTGATTCTATCTTTATCATGATATTCACAGTATAATGATTTTCGAACTCCATTTGTTTCATATTTACCAGCCAGCCTTTGGGATTCTATTGTAAACCCTTCTTATTTCTCCACCATTTTATTTATTTATTTATTTATTTATCTATCTATCTATCCATCCATCTATCAGATTTAATGAATTTTTGTTTTTCAAATTTTTCTGAATCATTACTAAATTATTTTGGTGTTTATATTGTCTCAGATTTGTCTGCTGGCAATAGTCTCTGTTTTAATTATTCATAAACAACTCTGAAAGTTTATCATATTAGTTATTTGTGATTTTACCAGAACTTGAAATAAAACCCAAGTCATGCAAGTTTGACGTGTGGTTTTATTTTTTTAATATTTATTTATTTATTTTAAAATTTTATTTATTCACGAGAGAGAGAAAGAGAGGCAGAGACACAGGCAGAGAGAGAAGGCTCCCTGCAGGAAGTCTGATGCGGAACTCAATCCCCGGACCTGGGATCATGCTCTGATTCCAAAGATGCTCAACCGTTGAGCCACCCAGGCATCCTTGATGTGTGGTTTTAGAAACATAGCAAGGAGACTGGCTGATCAGTCACCCATACTTCCCTGTCATCTTGTTTTCTTGTCAATATTTTGTGCCTTGTATCTTTTGAGATATGGAAAAATTTTTGTTTCTTTCTGAAAAGTTTCTTAGATTACTAGTGCTGGTAATGAAAGTGATAGTTCCTAACTATAAAACTGAACTTATATATAAATTAAAGAATAGAATGTCTATTTCTTTATCTCTATGATACAGTTTTCCTGTATCCTTTGATCATAACAAAAAAGGTTTATAACTTTTTATACCAGTTTTGTAAAAGTTGCCATGAACACTCTAGTCAGAACAAATATTTATCATAGAAAACTGTAATGAAAGTTCCAAAAGATAGTTGGAGCTGTAAGACTATGTCATAAAGTATGGATTTTATAGAAAAATTCAATTCAGGATAAAAGTAGGAACCTGTACAGGGGTGTATGTGAAGCTCCTCAATAATGCCATAAATGCCATGGGACCAAGATAGAGGAAGTGGCTTTTTTTTTTTTGGATGGTGCTTGTGGTTCTAATAGGGCATGGGAAGAAAGATCCCAAGTATCTGTTTTTTTTGTTTTGTTTTGTTTTTAGATTTTATTTATTCATGACAGTCACAAGGAGAGAGAGGAAGAGACAGGCAGAGGGAGAAGCAGGGTCCTTGCAGGGAGCCTGGTGCGGGACTTGATCCCCAGACCCCGGAATCACGCCCTGAGCCAAAGGCAGACACTCAACCACTGAGCCACCCAGGCATCCTCCAAGTATCTTTTTATTTAATCTGTTGATATTGACATTGTATCATAGAGTGTATTTACTGCCAAATATTTAAGAAAATTACATAATTAAAACTAATCAAATTAGATGCTCCAGGAATAGTTACTATTTTCAAAATCTATAATTTTCTTTTTTTTTTTAAATTTTATTTATTTATGATAGTCACACACACAGAGAGAGAGAGAGAGAGGCAGAGACATAGGCAGAGGGAGAAGCAGGCTCCATGCACCAGGAGCCCAACGTGGGATTCGATCCTGGGTCTCCAGGATCGCGCCCTGGGCCAAAGGCAGGCGCTAAACCGCTGCGCCACCCAGGGATCCCCAAAATCTATAATTTTCTATTTCTAAAAGTAAAATATAAATGTTCATCCAATAAGTATTTATTGAATAGCTGTTCTAGATGTTAGAGATATAGTACTTAATAAAATAGACAAAATCCCTGTTCTCATCATACTCCTACTCTAGCAAGGAAGACAGACAGTAAAAATCAGAAATATGTCACATAGTAATAAATGCTGTGAGGGAAAAAAAGCATGTTAAGGAAATATAAAGTGACAAAATTGGAGTGAGACAAAATTAGATAGGGTGGCTTGCTTGAGTGACATTTGGACAGATGTGAATGAAGGAAAGGAACATTCCATGTTCTTCATGTGGGAAGAGTATTCTGAGGTGAAGAATTTTCATTCTGCAAATGAAAAGGCTTGTTCAGGGATCTTCAGGGCCCTACAGGCTACTTTGGCTAGAGTGTAAAGATCAGGTATCTAGTAGTAGATTTGTTTTTTGTTTGTTTTTTGTATTTTTTTTATTGGAGTTCAATTTGCCAACATATAGTATATCACCCAGTGCTCATCCCGTCAAATGCCCCTGTCAGTGCCCGTCACCCAGTCACCCCAACCAACCCCCTGCCTACCTCTCCTTCCACTACCCCTTGTTCATTTCCCAGAGTTAGGAGTCTCTCATGTTCTGTCACCCTCTCTGATTTTTCCCACTCGTTTTCTCTCCTTTCCCCTATAATCCCTTTCACTATTTTTTATATTCCCTGTATGAGTGAAACCATATAATGTTTGCCCTTCTCTGATTGAGTTACTTCACTCAGCATAATACCCTCTAGTTCCATCCGTGTCGAAGCAAATGATGGGTATTCGTTGTTTTTAATAGCTGAGTAATATTCCATTGTATGTATAGACCACATCTTCTTTATCCATTCTTCTTTTGATGGACACTGAGGCTCCTTCCACAGTTTCGCTATTGTGGACGTTGCTGCTATAAACATTGGGGTGCAGGTTTCTCGGCTTTTCACTGCATCTTTATCTTTGAGGTAAATCCCCAGTAGTGCAATTGCTGGGTCGTAGGGTAAGAGGGTTCCCCTTTCTCCACATCCTCTCCAACATTTGTTGTTTTCCGTCTTGTTAATTTTCACCATTCTCACTGGTGTGAGGTGGTATCTCATTGTGGTTTTGATTTGTATTTCTGTGATGGCAAGTGATGCGGAGCATTTTTTCATGTGCTTGTTGCCCGTGTCTATGTCTTCTTTGGTGAAATTTCTGTTCGTGTCTTTTGTTCCTTTCATGACTGGATTGTTTGTTTCTTTGCTGTTGAGTTTAATAAGTTCTTTATTAGGTCTTGGATACTAGCCCTTTATCTGATACGCCATTTGCAAATATTTTCTACCATTCTGTAGGTTATCTTTTAGTTTTGTTGACTGTTTCTTTTGCTTTGCAGAAGATTTTTATCTTGACAAAGTCCCAAGAGTTCATTTTTGCTTTTGTTTCCCTTGCCTTCAGAGATGTATCTTGCAAGAAATTGCCGTGGCCAAGTTAAAAAAGGGTGTTGCCTGTGTTCTCCTCTAGGATTTTGATGGATTCTTGTCTCACGTTTAGATCTTTCATCCATTTCGAGTTTATCTTTGTGTGTGGTATAAGAGAATGGTGTAGTTTCATTCTTCTGCACATGGCTGTCCAATTTTCCCAGCACCATTTATTGAAGAGACTGTCCTTTTTCCAGTGGATAGTCTTTCCTGCTTTGTCAAATATTAGTTGACCTAGTAGTAGATTTGTATTAAATATTTAAAATACTGTGATTAAGAATTAGGAAATATTAGTAAGTGAGAATTTAAACTTTTTTTTTGTCTTTTTTCTGTAGGAAGATAATGATCCTCAAAATGTTGCATTCCTTCTGCATAAACAATGGACTTTATATAGTTTAACTCCCCTATATAAATTCTCCTATACTAATCTCAAAGAGTATGCTAGTCTTCTGAGTGCATTTATTGCTGCTGAAAAGCAAAAAGGGCTTGCTGTGGAAGTGGGAGAAGACTTCAACATCAAAGTGACTTTCTCTACTCTCCTAGGAATGAAAGGAACACAAAGAGACCCTGAAGCATTTCTTGTCCAGGTATGTTACAGGGGAAAAGAATCTGCACTGTCTTGATTTAGAAATTGTGGTATTTTCTTACCATTTAAAAAATTTTTTGTGCTTGTGATTTATAATCTATTATATGTCTTGTTTGACCAAATTATAGTAATTAGAGATGGCCAACTTAAAAAGTTTCTTTTCCAATTACATTATAGTCATGTTTATTTTAGAAAACTTTGGAAATACATAAAAATACAAAGAAAATTGAATACAAAGGAAACAGTTTAACATTTTGGTATATATATGTTTGGCAATAGACAACCTGAGGAAGCTTCAATTTATTAAAGAAATTGAGTCAATACTTTCCAAAATAGAAAGCACCAGGCCCAGAGAGGTTCACTGGTGAATTCTGCCAAACATTTAAGGAAGAAATTGTTTCAATTCTCACCAGTCTCTTCAGAGTCTGGAACCAGAGGGAACACTTCCTAACTTAATTCTGTGAGGCCAGCATTACCTAATACCAAAACTAGACAAAAAGGGGGACCCCTGGGTGGCTCATTGGTTTGGTGCCTGCCTTCAGCCCAGGGCGTGATCCTGAAGTCCCGGGATGGAGTCCCACATCAGGCTCCCTGCATGGAGCCTGCTTCTCCCTCTGCCTGTGTCTCTGCCTCTCTGTCTCTCATGAATAAATAAATAAGATCTTTAAAAAAAAACAAAGATTATTAAATCTACAGATCAATATCTGTCATGAACGTAGATATATCTGTCTGGCTATCTGGATCTACTAAAACTGGGATTGTATTGTGCATAGTTTTGCATATGGCCTTTTTAAAAAAATGTAGATAACTCCTCATGTCATTAAGAATGCTACATTTTTGTAAGTATATCTGTATAATTCTATGGACTAAATTTAAATTCTTAGAGGTGGATTTTAGCAAAAAAAAGATATATATGTATATATATTTATATGTATAACCTATTGTCATATAATGTGATATATCATGCCAAGTTACTCTTAGAATTGTAACATTCCTTTCTATGTGTAATATTTAAAAGTAATATGACTATCTTTGGATTTATTAAGAAACTGGATTTATGCCTGGTACTTCTGTTTCTTCTGAGTAAACTTGTCTTAGTCATAAATTAAATCTGAAACAGTCAAAAAGGCCTAATTTTGTTTATTTGTATACATCAGGGGTCAGCAAACTGGCCTGTAGGCCAAATCTGTTTTTGTTTTTGTTGCTGTTTTTCTAAATAAGATTTTATTGGAACAGTACTGCTTTCATTTGTTTACATATTGTCTATGGCTGCTTTTGTGTTACAACAGGAAATTTGCTACAGAGATCATAGGGCTTGCAAAGCCTAAAATATTTACTATCTGACTTTCACAGAAAAAATTTGCTATCCCCCAGTATAGATCATGGTATTGACAAGGATCTTCAAGATTCGTAGGATTAGGTTTAGCTGCATAAAACAGAAAGCCTAAATAACCGTGAATTAAATGTCTATCTTCAGGTTTAATAGATAGAAGCTTTTTTTTTTTCTTTTTCAGTGGGTACTATGCTACCTCATTAAAAGGACAGTTTTATTGTGGAAGGAAAAACAGGTACTGGATAGACAATTAGCAGTCTTTGTCAAATGAAGGAGTTGATGCCCAGAGAAGTAATGTGATTTGCATGTCAACAGGCAGATATTCTTTTGAGGAATAGAAATGACCTCTTGAATTCTTTTTTTTTTTTTGACCTCTTGAATTCTTAGTAGAGTGTCCTAATAGTTTCCAAATTAAATCTCATTTCTTCACAGAATTACAGGACCTTTAGGTTATTAAAGTGTGATAGCTTTAAGGCTTTTGTGTCTCTTAAAAAATCTCTTGAACAAGAAGGAGAAAAAAAAAAAAGAAAAAAAAAACAAGAAGGAGAAATATGCTAAAACTAACAATTTAAATAATTATCTCTAAAGGGGTACGATAGTGGGATGTGAACTTCACTGGTGAAACTTTAAAACTTCTGTGAATATCTGGAATATCATATGGTTTATAGATTTGAAGTTTAAGAGAGTAGTCAATCTGCTGGAGGACATAATCAAGATTTTTTTTTTAAATCTTTTTTTTTTTAATTTTTATTTATTTTATGATAGTCACACACACAGAGAGAGAGAGGCAGAGACAGAGGCAGAGGGAGAAGCAGGCTCCATGCACCGGGAGCCCGACGTGGGATTCGATCCGGGATCTCCAGAATCGCGCCCTGGGCCCAAAGGCAGGCGCCAAACCGCTGCGCCACCCAGGGATCCCCATAATCAAGATTTAAAAAAATCTGAATGGATTGGCGCAATGGGTCAAATTGAAAGAGATTAAAATAGGAATAAACATACCATTTCTGTATATTAGGGGGAGATTTACCTTTTTTTCTTTTTTTAAAGATTTATTTATTTATTTTAAAGAGCATACAAGCCAGGGGAGGGGCAGAGGGAGAAGGAGAGAATATCAAACAGACTGCCCACTGAGCACAGAGCCTGATGTGGGGCTCATTCTCTGGACCCTGAGATCACGACCTGAGGCAAAATTAAGAATTGGCTGCTTAATTGACTGAGCCACCCAGGTGCCCCAAGATTTACCTATTAACAGCAAAGATGAATAGGGATAATTTATGTAAAGCTGTCAACTAAAAATTAGAAAACTACTGCAATCTAAGATTATATTAAGAGTAGTATAATCTAGGTTAAAAATGGTCATATTATATTCACTTATGAATGACTCCCAGGCAGAAGACTTTCAGAGTGATATATTGTATATGTCATAGGAGGAATGGTTGAAGAAACCAGAGATTTTGAACCTGAAGCATTACATATGATAGGGATAATCAAATATTTGAAGGGCTTTTCCTGTAGAAGAGAAATTAGATTTGATTTGTTTTACATGCACATAAGGAAAAAACAGGATCTGCAGGTGGAAACTGTGGACCTAACATGTTAAAGAACATTTTTAAGTTGATAGAGCTGCTTTAGGAAATCCTGAATTCTTCCTTCATGGAAGGATTCAAGCACATTGAATTTGGTGACTTTTTACAGTACCTCCTCAAGTTGAGATTTTGAGATTCTTTTTTTCAGGATAGTATACTTGGTTATACCATATTGGCATTCCTTATTGCATTTTGGCTGCACCAAGATCTTGCCATATACCATGTCCTAATAAGACTATTAGGAGAAAGGTCAGTTAACTTGATAAACCCTAAAAATGATTAGGGAGATTATTCTTTTTTTCTTTTTTCTTTTTTTGGCAAGTAGCACAACATATGTTTCTATTTTTCAATGTACTAATTTTTAGAAGATGTAATTTAGGAGTAAATGTACTTTTGAACTTAATGAACCTTTTTTTTTTCCTTTGTAGATTCTGTCAAAATCTCAATTGCCATCTGAGAACAGAGAACATAAAGTGTTGTGGACTGGTTGGTTCTGCTGTATATTTGGAGACAGTCTTCTGGAGACTGTTTCAGAAGATTTTACCTGTGTCCCCTTATTCCTTGCAAATGGAGCAGAGACGAATACAGCCATAGTAGGAACCTGGTTTCAGAAAACTTTTGATTGTTATTTCAGTCCCTTAGCAATCAATGCATTTAATCTTTCCTGGATGGCTGCTATGTGGACTGCATGCAAAATGGACCAGTATATGGCAGCTACTGAATTTCTTTGGTCTGTACCCTGTAGCCCTCAAAGTCTGGACATTTCTTACGCCATACATCCAGAGGATGCAAAAGCTTTGTGGGACAGTGTCCACAAAACACCTGGGGAAGTTACTCAGGAAGAAGTTGACCTATTCATGGACTGCCTATACTCACATTTCCATAGGCATTTCAAAATTCATTTATCAGCCACAAGGTTGGTCCGTGTTTCCACATCTGTAGCTTCAGCACATACTGATGGAAAAATAAAGGTTAGTTTGAACAAATCTAGTTATGTAATTTTTCCTTGTTACATAGTTTCAAAATGTATGGCATTTGTGTTTTCCACATTGAGGAAGCACAATGGAATGCTAATTTGAGACAGTAGAGATATTTTATTATATGCTTTATAAATGATTTACTAGAAAGTCTTCAGTCTCTACATACAGCTTTATAATACTATATGCTGTGTGCTAGAGACTTTGGAAATAATAGGAATTATTTTGTAGTAACTTTGAAACTTTAAAAATTGTTTTGTTAAACTTTGAAATAATTACTGGAGCAACAGAGGACTTTGTTAGAAAATTATAGCCAGAAGTATATAAGATATCATCTTTATATGTTAGGCTTTTTTCTGGCTCCTGGGAAAGAAAGAATTAACATTTTTTACTCATTATCAAGTACTTGTTAGAGGAAGTATCAAATAAACTGAGAGTAGGCACCTAAATATAATAAAATATATTAATATATTTAAAATGTATTAAAGTATAGCCACAATAAACACTCAGTGAATATTGGTCTTATCACTGTGCTAGGAGTTTAATTCACCTTAATTTTAATCTTTAGAGTAACGCTGTGGGTAGGTGTTTTTATTCACATTTTTATTTTTTAAATTTATTTTTATTTTATTTTATTTTTAAAAATCATTATTATTTTTAGAGATTTCATTTATTTATTCATGAGAGGCACAGAGAGACAGAGGCAGGGACATAGGCAGAGGGAGAGGCAGACTCCCCTCAGGGAGCCCGATGTGGGACTCCATCCATGAACAACAGGATCAGGCCCTGAGCTGAAAGCAGAGCTTAACCGCTGAGCCATCCAGGGGTCTCTATCCACGTTATTTTTATTATTTTTTATTTTATTTTATTTCTTTTTCCACATTATTTTTAAACAAGGATACAGACCAAGATAGGTGAACCTTAATTAAGACACCTTAATTGAGAAGGAGTCAATATTTGAACGCTTATCTCTTAGGTTCCAAAAATCTCATACTCTATAAGCGCTATATTAGTGTTTTCAAACTGAAAGTCATAATGCAATAGTAAGTTGGAAAATAATTTTGAGGGACACTGGGTGGCTCAGTGGTTGAGCATCTGCCTTTGGTTCAGTGAGTAATCCCAGGATCCAGGATCAAGTCCCACATCGGGCTCCCTGTGAGGAGCCTGCTTCTCCCTCTGCTTGTGTCTCTGCCTCTTTCTCTGTCTGTCTCTCATGAATAAATAAATCTTTTAAAAAAATAATTTTTATGGGAAGAGACCAGCTTTTAAAAAATGAAAGAAATATAATAGAAAATATAAAAATGAGCGTATACATGTGCTTGTACTGGGTCATGATGTTAAACTTATTTCTTTGGTTTGTAGTAAAACATTTGAAAGATTATACTATACTTTGTTTCTTCGATATTATAAAGGAAAAAAAATTCCATTTTAGCACTTCAGAATTCAGTGTTTATGAAGTCCTTATATATTTTATTTTTATTTTTTATTTTTAAAGATTTTTATTTATTCATGACACACACACACACACACACACACACACACACACACACACACACACATAGCGGGAGAAGCAGGCTCCATGCAAGCAGCCTGATGTGGGACTTGATCCCGGATCCAGGGATCATGCCCTGAGCCCAAGGCGGATGCTCAACTGCTGAGCCACCCAGGTGTCCCTGTCCCAGTCCTTGTATATTTTAAAATTTTGTTTTCATATGCTCTATTAGTAAGCTACATTTAAAAAATGCTATATATGTGTCTTAGGAATATGAAAGTGGTTCTTAAACACATTCATTTTATCTCATCTATTCTACATCTAAGAGCCTCTTTTTTTTTAATTTATTTTAGAGGTAGAGTGAGCAAAGGGGAGGTGGGGGGAGGAGCAAAGGGAGAGGGACAAGCAGACTCCCTGCTGAGCGTGGAGCCTGATGTGGGGCTTGGTATGGGGGGTTGATCCCATGACCCTGAGATCATGACCTGAGCCAAAATCAAGTCAGTTGCTTAACCGACTGAATCACCCAGGTGCCCCACTAAGAGCCTCTCTTAATGATGTGAGATGGTAACTGACTCTTAGCTTCACACAATGCTATGATGAGAGCTAACATTTTAAAATTTATTTTTATTTTTCATTATTTTTTTAAAGTATCTTTTTTTTTTTTTTAAGATTTTATTCATTTATTTAACAGAGAGAGAACAAGAGAGCACAAGCAGGGGGAGCGGCGGAGGAAGAGGGAGAAGCAGGCTACCAGATATGGGGCTTGATCCTAGGACTCTGGATCATGACCTGAGCCTAAGGCAGATATTTAACCAACTGAGGCACCCAGATATTCAAACATTTAAACTTTTTTTTTGATAGCTAACATTCATTAAGCACTAATCGTGCAAGGCATTATTAAGCTTTTTGTATATACTGTCTCATTTAGTTTTTCACAACAATCTATTTATATAGGTTGTAAAGAGGAAACTAGCACAGGGGATAAGTAGGTTCCCTGAGATCACATAGCTACTAAGTGGAGTTTGAATTTGAAACCAGTCATTTGACTCAAAAGCTTTTGACTGCAACAGTGTACTGCCTCTCTAAAGTTTGGAATTAGTGTATTAACCAGATTTCTGCCATCTGCTTAGTTTCTGTAAGATACTTTTGGAATCATAAGTTCCTTTGAGAAGAAGGAAGCTCTGGAACCTCTTTCTAGATAACGTACATACTCAAATTGTATGTAAATCCAAGGGATTCAAGGATTCCCTTTCTCCCCTTACTCCTTATGCAGATAATCCATCCACGAAGTCAGGATAAATAAGAACTTTAATTATTTCTAAGTACTATTGACTAACAGTTGTATATTTATTAAAGTTAGTAGTCTTCATTAAATCTATTTGAGAGCAGCAGTGGTTTGGGTTCATCTTAGCTTGCAGATAGGGAATTTAAAATAAGCCCAGAGTTTATCAAATATCACACTGCTTTGTTATAATTCTAATTTTAAGTGTTTTTTTTTGTGTGTGTGTGTGTGTTTTTTTTTCAGATTCTGTGTCATAAATACCTTATTGGAGTCTTGGCATACTTGACAGAACTGGCAATTTTTCAAATTGATTAAAGTCTTGTGGGGACTATAAATGATGGATTATAATACTTTTTTCTCACTGATTATTTGCCTAATTGCTATACTGAGGGGGCCTGCAGGAGAAATATGCATCTGTGTCTGCATCTGTTTCCTCTTGGTGCCTTTGGGATTGCCCAGATTGAATTCAGGAAGGATCTAGAAGAACAAAGAAGGTGGTAGCGAATGAATCACAGCCAAGTGCTTGATAATAGTCCTGCTGATCTGGGATGCCAGTCTCTAGAAAATGCTGAGTTATTTTCTTGACCATGTTTCTAAAAAAATATGTAATGTTTTTTATATAAAAATTTTAGGATTCAAATAAGTAATCTCTAATATTGAGTATTTCTGATTCGGGTCTTTAAAACCTTCAGTTCCTTTTAAGCATTTGAGAGTTGGATCCTGAGAGAATTTCTGTCTTCAAAAGACATTTGGGTAGATTTCACTGTAGAGAGTTGGCAATCAAAATCTTCTCCAAAGGAAACTAGAGATTGATATACATTTCTTAAAGCCACTAATATGCTTCTGTTTTTAATACTTTTCAATTATTGTTGCAATGTTGAATTAAATATTCACTTTTAAAATGAAGCAGTGTGTTTATCAGTGTCATGGTGACAGATCTTTAATTAATGTCTCAGGAATGAGAAATTGTAGGCTTTGTCTCTAGCACAAATGTTACAAGCCAACAATTATTTGGAATCATACAAATAGTGGAGTTGAAAGGCACCTGTGAGCCTTTTTTGAGGGCAGAAATTATCTTTTACTTTCACATCCCTGATTTTGCTTTAACACAGTGCTTGGTAAATAACTTCAGATTAAGTGAATGCATTTTAACCAACTCTTCCATTTTATAGATGCAAACTATGAGATTGAGCAATTTAGGAGACTTGCCCAAGATGCTATATCTAAATTTCTTCTTTTAATTTATTGAGAATAGGGAGGTTTTGTTTTACTTTAGAAACAATGTTTTTAAAAACCTGTCCAAAAGAAAATAACTTTCATTTTAAAAAAAAAGTTTTTCTTGTTTTTTTAAAGATTTTATTTATTTATTCATGAGAGACACAGAGAGGCAGAGACATAGGCAGAGGGAGAAGCAAGCTTCCTGTGGGGAGCTTGATGTGGGACTCGGTCTCAAACCCTGGGATCATGACCTGAACCAAAGGCAGACGCTCAACCATTGAGCCACCCAGGCATCCCAGTAGACTGTCATTCTAAAAGTTTAACTTCTGGAATGGGGTATTATTTTACATATACCACGAATAGCAGAGAGAGTGGAAAAAGCAAGGGCTTTGGAGTCAGACAGTCATTCATTTAACTGATATTAAGCTCTTACAGTGTATTTAGAATTGTGTTGAGTAACAGGGACATCAATGAAGACAAAGATCCTTATCATGTGGAATTATATTCTAGTGGAGGGAGGCAATAAAGAAAATAAGGCAATACATTATGGAAAGGGGTGACTTTATACAGTTATCAAAGAAGGTCTCTCTGAGGAAGTGACATTTGAGCTGAGTCCTGAATGATGACAGCTATATGAAGATGCATGGAAGGGTATGGTAGGCAGGTGAAATGATAAGATCACAGGTCTTGACATCGGTAAGAACTTGGCTTATTTGAGGAATAAAGGAAGTCTGTGTGGCTGGAGCATAGTGAGTAAGGGTGGAGTAGTATTAGATGAAATTGAAGAGATTATGCAGCAGAGACTTACTCCATTGGTTATGTCTCCCAGTTTTTGACTGGGCATGTGGCTGTCCGGAATAAAGACCTTTACGGGCCTTTCTCAGAGCTAGGTATAGTCCTATGACTAAGTTCTGACCCATGGCCTCTGAATGGAAGGGTCATATAGAGCTTCCGGGAATCTTCCTTAAAAAGTAGGCATGTACCCTTTGCCTTTTTCTTACTCTTCTTCCATCTTTTCTGCTTGAAACACATGTAATGACTAGCCATTCTTTTTGGTCATGGGGATGCAGGTCAGGTCATAGGGGTTGGTAGAGCATGGTCTGGAAGGAGTTTGTGCCTTGAGTATTTCTTGAAGCTGAACCTCATTGCCACCCTTGGGTGGTCTTCCTCTAAACTTATGTATCAAAGAAGTAACCTTTCTTTTTTTTTTTTGAGAGGGAGGCATATAGGGGCAGAGAGAGAATCTTAAGCAGACTGCACCTCCAGCATGGAGCCTGTCATGGGGTTTGCTCTCACAACCCTGAGATCATGACCTGAGCTGAAATCAAGGATTAGTGCTTAACTGACTAAGCTACCCAGGTGTCCCAGAGAAGTAATTTTTCATTTTGTGTAAGCTAATGTTATTTTGTTATTAGTCAAACCTAATCCTGATAGAAGGAGGCAGGATCTACATCATCTTAAGTTTTTGTCAATGCTGTAAAAAGACTGAATTTTATTCTAAATGGAGTGGGAAGCCATTGAAGTTTTAAGCAGGAGAGTAATACTACCTAATCTGTATTTCTTAAGATATAAGGGAGAATGAGTTATAGGTGGATAAGAGTGAAAGGGAAACAGTTAAAAGATTGTTAGAAATGGTACAACCTCTCTGTGGAGAAATTAGCAATATCTAGCAAAATTATGTAGCATTTACCCTTTGACCAGCAATCCCACTTCTAGCATTCTATTTCCAAAACTTAGCAGCAAAGTAGAAATGAAGCTTGTATAAGGCTGTCTATTGCAATAGTATTTGTAGTAGCAAGACAAAAAATCGAAATGCCTATCAAAGGGGGATTGCTTGAATACATTATGGTGTTTGCTGTACAGTGAATTACTGCTATGTAACTATAAAAAGGTTTGAGAAAGATGTCTAATACTGCCATGAAGTGATCTTGATCTCTAAGATACGTTGTTGAGAGAGCAACATGTGGACAGTGTATCTATAGTATGCTATCTTTTATGGAAGGAATGGGTGAAATATGAGCATGTGTATTTCTTTATGCTTCCAAAAAACAATGGGAGGATAAACCAAAAACTAATAAAAGTGGTTACTAATTTGGGGGAAGAAAGGAACTGGGTACAGGGGACAGGAATGAAAGTTAATACTTATGTCCCTGTTTACAGTTTGTTATGTAAGCGTTTTATATAATTACAAAACAAAATTGGATCAAAAAGAAAAAGCAATCCTTCAAAGTTGAAAACATAAAAACTATATTAAGTTCATATGATAATCACTCAAGGGATTATTTTTAGTATCTTTAAATCCTAGTATTTTGACTGTACATTGTCAGCTTTATCTTAGGAAAAGAAGAGTGGCAAAGGAATGTATGTTGTATTTACATTGTTATTGGTATTCCTTGTTATTGGTATTATTGTTTTACCATCGTTTGTAATAAGATAAAGCTTAAAACAATGTTATGAATCAAGAGTTGGAGCATAATAGAAAAGCTACACAATTATAAAATAAAGCTAAGTAGACACTAGGTGTTGTATGTTGGCAAATTGAATTTAAATTAAAAAATGTAAAAAAATGAAAATAAAATAATGCTAAGTAGAAACAATGTAATGTTAAATTTGAATTGGAAATAGCAGAGTGAACTGATTTATTTTCAAAATGTAAAAGTTTTTAATTTTGATGGAAGTCCAGTTTATCAATTATTTTCTTTTATTTCTTATGCCTTTGATATTATGTCTAAGAAATCATTGCTTAATCTGAGGTCCCAAAGAGTTATTACTCTTATGTTTTTCTAAGGATCTTATAATCTTAGTTTTAAGTCTAGGTCTGTAATCCATCTTGAGTTTTTTATATATGGGATGAGGTAAGCATCCAAATCCATCTTTTTGGATATGGATATTCATTTATTCTAGTACCATTTATTGAAAAGACCGTTTTCCCCTGTCACCTTTCTTAAAAATCATTTGGCAGTAGATGATTATTTTTGGACTCTTAATTCTGTTTCATTGATGTCAGTCCTTATGCCAATACCACACTGTCTTGATTACTGTAGCTTTGTAGTGCATTTTGAAATCGGGGAATGTGAGTCTTCTAGACTTTCCTTTTTTTCCAAGATTGTTTTGGTTATTATGGGTCTTTTACATTTTTAAATAATTTTAGGATCAGCTGGTCAATTTCTGTAAAAAAAAAAAAATTAGCTGGGATTTTGATAGTTCCTGTGTTCAATCTGTAGATCAATTTAGGGAGTACTGCCACCATAATAATACTTAGTATCTAATATATGAACATGGGATATATTTCCATTTATTTCAAAATTTCCTTCAACAGTGTTTTATAGTTTTCAGCATACAAATATTGCACTTTTTGGGTTAAATTTATTCCTAAGTATTTATTTCATGGTATTGAGGATGGAAAGAAATTTTTTCAAAATAAGTGAAAGTTACTTTATTTTGGATAGGTAAGTAGCCAGGGAATTTCCGAGTAGAGTTACATGACCATCCATACTAGATAGTGACAGTAAAATTTTACGTTTTCTGTTTTTGAAGATACACCTTTCAAAAATATGCTTGCACTTTTATACTTTTGGAATTGCTTTCTTAATTTCATTTTTGGATTGTTTGTTGTATATATTGCTCTTATATCCTGTGATCTTGGCAAACTTGTTTATCCTAGTAGTTTTTTCAGTGAATTCCTTAGGATTTTCTGAAAGACTCATTATCGTTTGTGAATAAAGAGTTTTACTTAATTTCAGTCTGGATGCCTTTTATTTCTTTTTCCTGCCAAATTGCCTTGGCTAGAATCTCTACCACAGTGACAGAAGTAGTGAGAATGTAGTTTTATATTGTTCTTGATCTTAGTGGGAAAGCATATTTCACTATTAAATATGATGTTAGCTGTAGGTTTTTTCATATATGCCCTTTGTCAGGTTAAAGCAATTCTCAATTTGTTGGCAGTTTTTATTATGCACGGATATTGGATATTATCAAATTATTTTCCTGCACCTATTAATTCATGATTTTTTACTTAAAACTACACATTTCAGGGATGGTTGGGTGGCTCAGTGGTTGAGCAACTGCCTTTGGCTCAGGGCATCATCCCCGGGTCCTGGGATCAAGTGCCGCATCAGGCTGCCTGCGGGGAGTCTGCCTATGTCTCTGCCCCTCTCTGTTTCTCATGAATAAATAAAATAAAAAAAAAAAAACACCACAAAACTACATATTTTACTCCGTTTTGGTTCCTCATATGAGGAACTTAGAAGTAGCCACTGTGTCCTAATGAGTAAAAACTTGAAGAGATTGAAAAATCAACAAATCTTGAATCCATAAAGGGAGGACACAGGGTAAACTGTTCTCCAGGTTAGAGAATAGCACAGAGAACAGTGAATAAGTTTGAATCAGGGGATGTGGATTTGAGGTTCAGTTCCTACCATGTCCTTTTAACTTTCTAAGCTTCAGTTTACTTGTTTATAAAATGAAGAGGACTGCCAACTCAACCCAACTCAGCTCACTTCATAGTTGTAGAAATCACTATGCAAATGATATTCTTTTACAGCAATGACATTTACATAATATGTACATTTTACCCAATAATACAACTTGACCACTTCAGTGGAAGAACAAAGTAAGCCCTTAGGCTCCAATGAACTCTTTGGCCAGTATTATAGTTCCTGGGTCTCTGCTCTTGAATGACTGCCATATGAATTGCTACTATTGGGAACTTTAATACTTCCTGGAAGTCTAATCTCTAGAACTTTGTTCCTGTTCTCATTCCTTTCCTTTTCTTAAAAATATACGCAATAATAAAATCTTGGGAAGTGAATTTTGTCTTAAAGACTGACTTAATGATGCAGTACTATAAGGATCTCATAAAGTGTTTATACTTTTTTTAATGTTACATACCAGATTTACTTAGAGTCTGTTAGTATATTTAATCCCAGGCCATGTTTTAAGTGGAGGTGAAGTCGCAGTGTGGCACAGAAAGAGAAATGGAGTGGGATTTCGGGGAACTGTTTTTTTTTTTTAATTTATTTATTTATGATAGTCACACACACAGAGAGAGAGAGAGAGAGAGAGAGAGAGAGAGAGAGAGAGGCAGAGACACAGGCAGAGGGAGAAGCAGGCTCCATGCACTGGGAGCCCGACGTGGGATTCGATCCCAGGTCTCCAGGATCGCGCCCTGGGCCAAAGGCAGGCGCCAAACCGCTGCGCCACCCAGGGATCCCCGGGGAACTGATTTTTAATGTTGGTCCTATCATTGACTGTATTTACTCTTAGGAAGGACATCCTTGGTTTTCAGTCTTAGAGAAATAGATGGGTTTGGATCAGATGACTATTAAGAGTCCTTCTAGCTCAAAATTGTTATGATTCTAAGTGCTACACCAGAAAGTAAGTTTAGAGGTTAGGAAATATAATACTATTGTAATAAAATATATAATAAAAGTTCATAATTCTAGCTGGCAATCCTTTATTCATGTTGAAAGTACTTACAATGTTAAACTAAATAGCAAAGACACAAACACTAAAAAACATTAACCAAAGTTTTTTTTTTTTTATGGTAAATACTACCTTTATTTAAAAAAGTTATACATGCTAGAAAAAAGCATAAATGATACATGTAAACAACTGTTTACCAAATACTTATTTTTTTTTCCTTGTAAAGGTGCAAATGATCTTTAAATGTAAACACAAAAGTTGCCAAACATTTTTGTAGTAAGGGGGAGGGAAGAGAAAGTTATTCCTTTTGGTTGTGGTTAAAGTCTTATTCAAAGATTTTCCAGCAAAATACATTGAAAATTGGTCTATGAACACAATGACAAAACTGACCACTGAGGTTTGTATCATTTTCTCCTTAAAAATTTTAACTTTTCACCAGAAAGTGCAATTTGAGAGTAACAGTGGCTTTATAGAGTGAGGATAATGATATGTTTGTATAAAAGAACCAAGATTTTACTAATAAAATGCCTCAATTTTATACTTGTTAGCGTGTACTATTACATGAACTGCAGAATTCATTCTCTTGGAGGCTGTGATTACAGGTAAGCCTCAGCTTCAGCAGGCCTGAGCAAGTGTAAATTGCATAACAGTAATCACTGGGGGGGGGGGGGGGGGAGAAGGCATTTCTCCCTGCTGGTCCTTAGTAGCAATCAGGAAACAAAAAGGAAAGTTGTTTGAGTCGATAATATTTTTGAACAAAAACTTTTGCAGAGTAGCACATGATTCTATTGGAGGATTCTCAAGACAGCATAGAAGAATGGTATACTGTTTTTATAGAGGCACTGAGCAGAGCTCTAAGCTAGCAGAAATTCTATGAAAATACTATGAAAAAAGACTTTATAGTGGAAAACAAATTCATATGGAAGGAAACAAGATGCAAACTTGCACTGATGAAAACGTTAGTGTCTGAGTCCTGGTTTTATCTAACATTCCTTTTGAATTGTACTATTTAAAATGAGTGTTTCCTTTTTTGTTTGTTTTGTTTTTTAGATTTTCAAGTCTTCTGGTGCTTAGTGCAAGCATGATGGCTAAATAATACATTTTACATACCCTATCTTTGTCACTGGTAGTCCTTGTAGATAGTGGAGTCATGTGGATGGAGTGCTTAGAAATAACAATTAGATCATGTATAGCCCTTCTCCCTTTATTAGTATTTTCAAACTTAACATCTTAAAAATAAACTTTCTACTTGGAATTTTTATCTTTTTTTTTCTTTTCCTTTTTTAGTGGGAAGAAGGCTAAATCCAAAGCAAAACAAAACAAAACGACAAAAAACCCAACAAAAAAACCATGATAAATTAAAACCAAAAATAAATATTCTGCATGGAATTGAAAACTTTTGTGCAAAGGTGGCATCTTGCAGTTGAAGTACTTTCATTGTATTTGTATTTCCATATGTTGAGGCACCGGCAAAGAATAATTTGTTCTAATGTTTTCTTGAGCTATACAAAGCTCCAAAGTCAAATCTCTCCAGAACACAGTGGAGCATGTACATGACTGTCTTCTAGGTGATCACCATATATGGGATTCACAATGTGTCATTTTAATAACTCCTACACCACCCCCGAGGCGACGGTAATTCATCCCACCATATAACCTGCAAAGAAAGAAACAAAATCAGATTCCAAAGCGCAAAAAGCACTGTTTCTTCTATTACTTAGATGTTAATTAAGCACGTGTTTTCTATCATAATATTTTTAGCTTCATACATCTCTTCCAAAGATTAGGACCTGGAATTGAGCACTGGCAAGTAGCAGAATTATTTCACACATTGGCTGAAAAGGTCTCATTTAAAGGTTACTGTTTTAAGAATAAGAGAGTGTCATTCCCACATTTTGCATCACAACTTTATAACTTCACACCTAAATTGACTTCTAACAATTACACAGAACCATATATTCTACATTTTTGTGTCTAGTTTTGGCCATGGCTATCTTATTTTCCTACTCACATTTCCCTCTGCCTAAATATCGATAATTTATATTTATCCTTTTGCCTTATATGTATTCTCACAAACCTCCTCCTTTATGGAACAAACCTGGATATGAGTAAGTAAACTCAGCATCTAGTTTGTGACCTGTGAACAAGATCGTCTTCAAAGCTAAAGATTTCCATGGAAAAGAATATTAGATCCTCTGTCAGCTGTAAGGTAAAACTGGCTTTAAGTTTGGGATATATAACTATAACAATTTAGATAGTAATCTCTTAACAGATGATCCTTAAGAATTTCATAAATATTACTTGGTCACATATTACTAATTCTACTTAGTGACAGTTACTGAGAAATAGGTCCTTATGTAGGATCGTAGTGATTAAGTAGCAGAAGTAAATCTGGCAATCTTCCCAAATTCCCATTAAACATCAAAAGCTGAATATGCAAGAAAATATGCCACAAGTGGGAGGCTCCTTTTCAGGAAAACTTCCCATTGTCTCTCCCTTACCTCTATTAGGTTTTGCTAAAATGTGACCTTGACAGTTAGGCCTTCCTAGGTCACATTTTAAAAGGAAGCTCCTCCCTGGACATCCTCACACCTCTCTGCTCTTTACCACAGTACTTCTATCCCTGACGTGGTACTGTTAGTCTCCTTCCTAGAATGTCCGATCAAGGAGGGCAGGGGATTTAGTTTTTGTTCACTGTGGTATCTCTGATGTCTAGAACACTTAGTAAATCTTTACTTAGTGAACAAGGCTGTGAAAATGTAATCTAGTAGAAGCCAAAAGTGTCCAATGTCTGACTTCTAGTCTGACTTTAGTATTGTGACTTGGTAGTCATACAGAGCCATGAGCCAAAGGCAGAATCCAAAGAACACCATTTAAACATCTGTAAAAGTGTGGCTTTCCCAGACATGAAGACTGTATTTTTTTTAAAGATTGTATTATTAGAGAGAGAGAGCGAGCATGAGCCGGGGTAGGGGGGTGGTAAAGAGGGGAGAGACTCCCCACCGAGTGTGGAGCCTGACATGGAGGCTTAATCTCAGGACCCCAAGATCATGACCTGGGCCAGCCAGCCAGGTGCCTCCACTTATTTATTTTTAGATATTTCTTTATTTGAGATATATATATATAAAGAGCATGAGCATGGAGAGGGGGAACTGGGGGAGGGAAAAGCAGACTCCCCACTGAGCAGGGAGCCCAAGGCATAGCTTGATCCCAGGACCCTGAGATCATGACCTGAGCAAAGGCAGATGCTTGACTGACAGAGCCAGCCAGGTGCCTCAGTTTTTGAATACTTAAATGCATGAGTAACATGATT